AATTTGATCAGAAATTAATATTGCCACTCCTGCTCTCTTACAGTTGCCATTTGCTTGATATATCTTTTTCCAACCTTTGATTTTTAGTCTGTTTTTGTCTTTATCTCTAAGGTGTATCTCTTGTAGGCAGCATATTGATGGGTTGTGTTTTCTTATCCAGTCTGCAGCTCTCTGTCTCTTGAGTGGTGCATTTAAACCATTAACATTCAGTGTAATTATTGACAAATATGATTTGGTTAATCTCTTGCTTTTTGAATGGGAGAAATGTTGGTTTACACAATGATGCAGAATGTGAAGATACCTAATGTTGATGTGCATCTGTGAAGGCTGACGTGCTTTCAACTTCCTAGTTATAACCTCAGCAGCTGTAACTCCCCAAGCCCCGACTGAATGCTAACTAATCACCCTACTCCAAATCTTCTTCTGCTCGATGTTAGGGGTTTATATTTGTACTGTGTTTTAACATAGATATAATCAATATCCATACTATCATCTTCTCATTCTGATGTATATGCCCTCATGCCAGATACTTAATTTAGTTATTTTGTCATGTTTTTAAAAGTGCCAAAACAGATTGTTGGACATCCTATTAAATAAAGTAATCACAGGACAGTAGGGTACCTCAACATCAGAAACCATTTGGCTCACTCAATGGGCCTAGACTATTAGGCTCTCTTTTAAACTAGATATGCCCAGAGAAGACCATTCCATATGTTCCTTTGGTTGGAAATTCTTAATGGTGCTTGGTCTCATAATATTTTACCAAATCCAGTTTGCTTTTCCAAACTCTTCTTGGTTTATCTTTACTATATTATGGTCAGATATGTTCCAAAAAATAAAATATTCTTTGTGGCTTCAGACCCTTTTCACGTATATGAATTAGCCAAGCTGTGATGCCCTTTCCAGATTTGACAAATAAGGATTGGGTGCAAGCATATGGTTTTCCCATTCTGTTTTTACCATTTGATTTTCCTTTATTAAGAAATAAAGTATTTTTACGTGGATATCTGGCTTTCTCAAGTATGTGTTTTTCTCCCCATGAATGAGGTGTTGGATGCCAGAATATAATCCTGCTGAAAGAAAGAAGCTTTGAGTTAGGAAAACCTTACCTTATGTGAGGCAGCTGTGTGGAAAAACTGTTATGTGTCAGAGTTAGTGGTGAAATAGCTGTATTAAAATACGATAACTAAGATATAAAGGAAGAAAATAATACTAAGCAATAATAATCTGGTTTCCATTCCTAGTTTTAGTCCCGCAAATTAAGTGATACAGTTATTCTTGTTTTAGGTTTAATGTCTGTCCTGTTAGGACACTAATTTGTCTATAAGACGCTCTTAAACTTGATTAGTATAGTGCTTCTTATTTTACAAAGATTTGTTTTTATACCTCATATTTTTCAGAGCTTTCAACAGGCTGTACCTCATAAATCTTCCATCAGCTGTGTGAAATAGGCAGGACAAGTAATGAATTTCCAAGTAATAATGAAAAACTAAGAGCTCAGTGCTTCTGATGAGTGTTTGCAATGTTATGTAGCAATTAGTTTTATAAACCCTACAGATAAAATCAATTGGTAAATTAAATCCTTGTTACCTTTAGTTCAGCCTCCTACAATGAATTTGAAAAGCATTTATCATAGTTTTGTACCATGTTCTTCACATCCCTGTATCATATAGAATTTGTCAAAATAAAAAGTTCTTTGGTCCTGGGCCAAAGAAAGAAGAAAAATAAAAGTCCTGAGTTTTTAAGAATTTGAGGTAATTTTGAATTTTTGAGTCATAGCTCTTGTCTCCAGTTGATACTCTGATATTTTTTTATACTGTATGTTGTTGTTGTTGTTGTTGTTATTTGCCGTCGAGTCGGCCCCAACTCATGGTGACCCCTCCTTGGGTTTCCGAGGCAGTATCACTACGGAAGTAGATTGCCACCTTCCTTCCGAGCAGTGGCTGGTGGGTTTGAACCGCCAGCCTTCTGGTTAGCAGTCAAGTAGTATAGTGCCTGAGGCACTTGACGGCTAATCAGAAGGCTGGTGGTTCAAACCCACCAGCCACTCCTCGGAAGGAAGATGGGTCAATCTACTTCTACTTTCGTAGCGATACTGCCTCGGAAACCCAAGGAGGGGTCGCTGTGAGTCGGGTCTGACTTGACGGCACATAACAACAACATAGTGAAAGAACAAGTGCTTTCCACACAGTCTGGTTTTGATTCTAACTACTGACTAGGTGGTTTTTTTTTTTTAAAAAAAAAAACAACTTTGGGCAGATTGTTAAACTTCTCTGGATCTTTGATTTCCTCATATCTAAAATGGTCTATTGCTATCTCAGATCTGTCAAGATTCAGTGAATTGTACATAAAGCTCTAGTTTCCTTCTCCTAGACTTTGAATAAATTACCCCTAAAGGAATTTTTAATCTTACCTTGCTCTCTATCCTTCCCCTTTTGATCTTGTATTTAAATAGTGATTGGAGTATGGTGGTATGAGACATCACTGAACACCCCCTTCTCCATGATATTTTCCTTTTAAGAGGGTTAGTGAGTAATCATTTGGCCTTCATTTTTATCATTTAGACAATGTGTTAGAGATTTGGAGCATATTTTACAGCTGACATGTCATTGTTCCTGCCTTTTCTTTGTTTTTTCCTTTCACAGAGGATCTTCAAATGCTTCCTTAAAGGAAGAAGAATATAAGGAGCCTTTGATTTTCCATTCTGGGGATCATTACCCCTTATCTGATGGAGATTGGTCTCCTTTGGACAAGTAAGTGTTTTAAAATTTCTTTTTTTTTTAAAGGAAAGAGGAAGGAAGAATATACTAAATAGCTGTTCTGTTACCAGCTGTAGTGATATTTCCCATTTCACTCTTAGTAGTAGAGGAGCTGGGTATTTACTTTTACTTTCAATAATTTATTCTCGCAATATCAACCAGTGTAGTTTTGTATAATCAGCATAGGTATTGGACATCTACAGTTCCTGAATTCTGATCTTTCATTGTCGACGATTGACTATAACTGTAGACAGTATAAAGAAAAGATGTGTAGCAATACTTTGTTTATTCTCTGTTCACACTTGGTGTGTCTCACACGGTAGTTATGTTAACCCATTTTTGTGTGTGTGTGCATTTCATCTCTTATAAAATTATCTTCCTCATTGGTACTCATGAGAATCAAGTGAGATAATGCATATAAAATGTTTACAGAGGACCTAGCAAGTCCTTAATAAGTACTAGCTTTCATTGTTTTGATTATTATTAAAGAACTCAGTGGAAGAAATAATGGCATTCCCTTCAGCAGCACCTTTATATCTGCAGGATAAAGTTGATCTGTTTCATATTTCAGACTGCATATTGCTTTTAATTGGCTAAGCTCAGCAAGCCTAAAGTTGTTTTAACTTTAAAGTCATCACATTTCTTTGTTCTTTCGTTTTCAGCGCCTTTTCACAGGCTGCATGTCCTAAGAGTGATTCAGAGCTGGAGGTGAAGCCCGCTGAGAGCCTACTCAGATCTGAGTCACACATGGAGTGGACATGGGGAGGGTTCCCAGAGTCCACCAAGGTACTTGGGTTTATTTGCCTACAGAATGTGTCTAATTAGAAACTTGTAAAGATTCCACTGTCCATAAGTAATGGGTGCAATTTCTGACTGCGCAAAATGACAGTAGTGCCCTCATGTGGTCATAGAAGAAATCCAAAAGTAACATGTTTTATCTGCTATAGGAGGGACCCAGTATCATTTTGTTTCTATCAGGAACTTGTTGATTGTTGTTATAAGGAAATTTTAAAGGACACTAGAAGGAAGCTAAGATTTCCACATTGAAATTTTAAGCGGGAAATTGATTATTGAAAACTTTTCGTCAATTCATAGAGAAAAGAAAAAACTGGGAAGATAAATTTCGTGAGAGAAAATATTTAGATCTTCTATTTCATATAGTTTTTAAAAAATACACATTTTGCTTAATATATGATTGACTTTACATTTCCCACTTTTAAGTTGTTTTAACAGAACCTCGAGGTGGGGGCTTGAAACATGATAGTTCAAGCAGGGCTAAATTTTAGTTTCATATTTACAGTTTTCTACCTCAAAATGAATATTCTCTACCCCTTAGTAGCTAAACATTATCTTATTTTCTTACAGTCTTCAGTGTTTAACTCTTCATGTAGAACAGTTATCAATATAACTCTTAATAAATACTAAACTATTCATTTTCCCAGTTTTTTTGTTTCATTCATACAAAAGAACATTTAATGAATGTATAGGTTATAAATAATAAAATGAATGCAATTTCTATTAAACTTTTTTTAGATGAGCAAAAGAGAGAGATCAGACCATCATCCTAGGACAGCTACAATTACACCATCAGAAAATACCCATTTTCGGGTAATTCCTAGTGAGGACACCCTCGTGAGTGAAGTTGAAAAGGACGCTTCCATCGAAGACACAGTCTGTACCATAGTGAAACCCAAGCCTAGAGCTCTGTGTCAGCAGATAAGAGATACAGTTTCCCCTGAACAACCTCCTGATCCTCTTCTTCAGAATATTCAGGTTTCATCTATGTTAGATGTGGACAACTTTCCTAATCCATCACTAGTGGAGGCTTCCTCAGAATTAAAACCAGCAGCTAAAGTAGACTCACCATCAAAGAAGAAAGGTAATTATTTTGTTTGATTTGGCATCACTGTTGTTCGTTGCCATCAAGTCACCTCTGACTCATGGTGATGGTGACTCAGTATATAATAGAACAAAATCTTGTCCAGTCCTGTGTCATTGCTGGTATGCTCGAGTCTGTTGTTGCGGCCACTGGATTTGACATTAGGCACTCTGAATCTCGATGGTAAATTATTTCAGCGTTTCAGTATAATTGGTGACTAGCCATATATTTGTGTTCCCCAATCAGAACATATCATATACTTTATTATGATTACTTGTTTTAAACGTATTTTCATTAGTTTATAAATTCTGTTGGAACAGGATTCTAACTTGCTCACTTCTCTATCCTGACACTACTTAGTTGACCCTTGATTAGTCCTTAAAAAATAAACGAGTGCATTCTAATTAGTTACTGAATAAAATTAACTATTGTATTAACTCACCAGAAACCAAACTCAATGTTATCAAGTCGATTCCAACTCATAGGAACCACCATTGGGTTTCCAAGGCAGTAAATCTTTATGGAAGTAGATTGCCCCATCTTCCTTCCACAGGGGGGCTAATGGGTTTGAACCACCAACCTTCTGGTTAGCAGCCAAATGCCTTAGGCACTGTGCCACCAGAGCTCCTTATTGTATTGACTAGGTATGTCAATAAAGTGAAGTGGAAACCAGAATAATTGTATAGTTCGAATAGAGAAGATTAGAATAGTGGAAAATGTTCTTACCTGAAATACATGGTTAATTAGTAATTTGCAAGTATGTGACCTATCAACTACTTTTTTTTTTTTGCAATGATACAGGTTATATTTTAAAAGTAATTATTAGTATGTGCTCTCTTTCATTGATTATTTCCCTCTATCCCACTCTTGGTTCAACAGCTCTATCTTACTTTCAGAATACAAGTTTATTAAATCAGAACATTCTCAGTATTTAAAAATATAAAGTTATCCATTCATACTTGGTCAGTAAGAGTCAGAACACACTGTGAGCACTGGCCTTTGATGCCCTAAATTCTAGAGCAACACTATCCAATAGAAATGTACTGTGAGCCACATATGTGGTTTTAAGTCTTCCGGTAATCCTGTAAGATACTCGGTGGTGTAGTGGTTAAACAGTTCAGCTGCTAATCAGAAGGTTGGCTGTTCGAACCCACCCTCCACTCTGCAGGAGGAAGATGAGGCCGTCTACTTCTGTAAAGATATATACCCTGGTTCTACTGTGTTGTAAAGGATCACTGTGAGTCTGAATTGACTTGACAGCATTGGATTTTATTTTATTTTATTTTATTTTGGTTAGTAGGCAATTAAAAAGTTAAAAATGAACACATGAAATTACACTTAATGATATATTCTATCTCACTGATTAATCCAAAATACCATAAGATTTTAACATGTAATCAATGTAAAAGATTATTGAGATGTTTTGCATTCCTTTTTTTATAAGTCTTGTAAGTGTGTTTTACACATTATTCAACACTTTTGGCACACTTCAGTTTAGATGTGCAACACTACAAGTGTTTGTTGGCTACATGTGGCTGGTGGCTACTACAGTAGGTAGTATACCTCTAGAGGCATAAGGCGATTTGAGTTGAATATATTTTATTTTCGTAAGGGATGTAGTGAGTACTACATTTTACATCCCATATTGTCCCACTACTAATGATACTAAATTTGATCACTTAAGATGTTCTCTGCCAGATTTCTCTATTGTAAGGAATTTTTGTCCTTTTACAATTAGAATGTAATCTTTGGGTTGATACTTTGGCACTATGTGAATGTTTTTTTCCCTAACATCCTTTGAACTAGTGGTTTTAGAATAATGGTCTTATTCTCAATCCAAGTGTGATTGCATCAAATTTAGTCTTGCTTTTTCTTACCTATAAATTGAAAAAAAACAAGAGCCTCTACCATCAAATATAAATTATTTAGGGGCTTATGTAACAGCAACTGAAAGAGTGAATAAATCAGCCTGTGTTTATTGAGCAACTGTTACTTGGATAGCACTGCATTACTCTTGCATTGGCGTGAGGGAATGAGATCCAACACACACAATAAGGTTAGTTGACACTAAAGGTAAAAAAAAAAAAAACCTGTCCAAATCATGGTCTCTCACTCAACTCGCTGCCATCGAGTTGGTCCCAACTCATAGCGACCCCTTCTTGGGTTTATGAGGCAGTAGCTCTTCGGGAGTAGATTGCCCAATCTTCCTTCCAAGAACTGCTTTGAACCACCAGCCTTTTGGTTAGCAGTCAGATGCCTTAGACACTACACCATATTTGCAAACCTTTATTTTCTTACATAGTTGTAAATGAAGAATAACTAAGTTCTTACCTCTGATGTATTTTTCTTATAAAACCAGGTGTTCACAAGCGAAGCCAGCACCAGGGACCTGATGATATTTACCTGGATGACTTGAAGGTTCTAGAACCTGAAGTTGCTGCTCTCTATTTCCCTAAAAGGTAGTGTGTCTCATAATGTGATGGTGATAGGTGGATAGCTCTGAAATATTGTAATTGTTTCTAGAGCAAAACGTTTTCATCTGAGGAAAAGTAGCAAAGTGAAAGTATCCTTTTAATAAATCTGATGATTGCTTTAGGTTTTGGAAAATATAGAAATTTTGTATGTGTTATTTGAGTATAGTGATAGAAATTCATAGTCTATTTATTTTTGAAGAAATTTTCAGTGTAATGAGAGGTATACTACTAAAACCTTATGGTAGCTTATAGAAAGGAGCTCTGGTAGCTTAGTGCCTTAAGGCACTTGACTGCTAACCAGAAGGCTGGTGGTTCAAACTCACCAGCCACTCCTCGGAAGGAAGGTTGGGCAATCTACTTCTGTAATGATACCACTTCGGAAACCCAAGGAGGGGTTGCTGTGAGTCAGGTCCGACTCGACGGCACGTAACAACACAGGTTATAGAATTGATATGACTTCAAATTTGCACTTTTTACAGTCATTAATACAAACTCCCATCCTTGGGAAAATTCTCTAGCATTTGTTTCACATGTGTTTTCAAAAGTAATAATACATCTTCATTTATATGAAAGCATTTTACAAAGAAGGCTTTCACTCCTTGGGTGAGTTCTGAACTTACACCTGGGCCTGAGGACGACTCATTCCTTTTGCTCTGTGCTCCCCTCTTGTCATTGTCATTTCTCCTTCCCCTCTCCCGTAGCTTTCCCCTTTGAATAATCTAAAACTGCAAACAAATATGTTTGTACTGGTTTCCCAAGTTCATTTCCATTTTTAGTTGAATTCCATTTTTATACTCTACAATTACAAAAAGGAGCACTGGTGGCACTGTGGTTAAAGCATTGGGCTGCCAACCAAAAGGTTGGCAGTTGGAACTCGCTGGTTGCTCCACAGGAGAAAGATGAGGCAGTCTGCTTCTGTAAAGATTTACAATCTTTGAAACCCTTTGGAGCAGTCTTACTCTGTCCTGTAGGGTTGCTATGAATCAGAATTGACTCAGTGGCAGTTAATATGTAATAATAATATAATAACACCATACTTTACTTTTCCCTGTGGGTATGCTCTTAGGGCTTGGATTTATTGATGCGGATACATGTGATTAAATACTTTGAAATGAGTTATTGAAACACCTATTTCTTTAGTTGTTCATTTGGAGTAGAGAGAGAATTGACATAAAGTTATTTGTATTTTTTACAGACATTTTGAGAAGGTCCTTAAAATTTTTTTCTAACTCTGCCCTAAATTTGCCTCAAAATATTTATTTCATTTGAAATAATAGTTGAGGGAGTTTTTCAGGTGAGAGAACTGAATGAAACTGCTCCACTTTTTTTTTTTTTTTTTTTTACAACAACAAAGTTAAAAGGCAAACTTCATAGATTTACTATTTTCTTTCAGATTTCCCTTCTTACTCATTTATTCACATTGGTATTTCTAAGTTAGATTTCTTTGTTTCTCTTTTAGAAAATGGGGAGAGGATTAATCCAATGGGACCTTACTGTTTGGCTGGTAGGGTCATTGTCAGTTCACTAAGTCAATGTCTTACCTCATGAGCTAATTATTCCTAGAGATATTCCTTAAATACTGAAAGGTAGTGAGACTTTTAATGCTTATAAGCATTAATTACTGTCATGATCGTTATCATCTTTATTACTAAATCTCCAGTATTTGTTTTGTGTCTTGGAGGAAGTATAGCCAGAATGTTCCTTAGAAGCGAGAATGGCTGGACTTTGTCAGTTGTACTTTGGTCATGTTGTCAGAAGGGACCAAGAGAAAGATAGAATGCTTGCTAAAGTGGAGGTCAGCAAAAACGGGGAAGATCTTCAATGAGATGGAATGAAATGAGTTGCAACGATGTGCTCAAGCATGGCAACAATTGTGAGAATAGCACAGAACCAGGCAGTGTTCCGTTCTGTTGTACATAGATAGGGCTGCTGTGAGTTGGAACCAACTCAGCAACACCTAATGACAACCTCCAGTATTTGTAATCATAGTTAAATCTTACTATAAATCACATCACTCTTCTGGCTTTGGCTATATGTTGATCAGATGTCATCCTCCATGAATTTTGATGTTGTACTGGTTAGGGTAGTATAAGCTGCTGTAACTGATAAAACCCAAGGTCTCAGTGGCCTAACACAGTATACTTTATTTCTTGCTCATAAAGTAACATTAATTTGGTGGGAGACCTTCCACGCTGGGATTCAGGAACTCAGGGTTCTTCATTTTTAGGCTCTACCATCTCTGCAGGACCTCAGAATCTGTCAGTTTCAGGGCACAGACCATGGGCCAGGCTTGGAAGAGGACACATCATACCCTTCTGCTCACATTGAAGACTTGGCCATACAGTCTCATGGCTACCCTTTACTGCAAGAGCAGCTGAGAATAGTGATCTAGCTGTGTTCCCAAGAGGAGGAAGAAACAGGCTTTGTGACCATGAAGCAATTGTCTGTCTATGTTTTTCCCAAGGGTTGACCTTGACCCTCAGCCTCACAGCATTGTAACATGTTTCACTTCTTTATATTGACTTTGGCCTTTTTCATCATTTCCAGTGAAGAGAACATTCTATTGATCTAATTAATAGCAATCTTGCGTGGCTGTGCATTGCTGTTGAGAGTGAACCGAAATCTGTTAACTGGTTCAAATGCAAAACATAACAGCTTTTGAAACTGCTTTCTAGCTAGTTATACCCTGCCACTTCTTAAATTTAAGAAGCTTTCCTGAAGATCATATAACTTCACTGGATTGTATACATTGATTTGTTTTTTATTAAACAGTGAATATACTTTAAAAAAAATTAATTAATTTGAAAATTATAGAACAGTATCTCAAATGTGATGTTAAATCTCTATTCAAAAGATACAAAGTAGTAAACATTAATAACTGAGAGACTTAGGAGGCCATTTCTTTGTCCTTTTTCTCTCAGTGTGTGCTTCATTACAACAGGCTTCCCTTTCTGGTGACCTTTGGAAACCTAATTTCCATGCCTTATCCAGAAAAAGAAAAATAATAGAATAAATTCATCTTTAGTTCTGGCTCTCACTAGTGTAAAACAGGGTTTTGAACTGGTTCGTTCTGGTTCTACCCCTTGCTGAGATTTTGCCTTTGTACGCCACAAAAAGTGAATCAGAATCTACATTTTAGTAAGATCTACCCCAGGTATACTGAATCAGAATCTACATCTTAGTGCACATAAGAATCATCTGAAGGATCTTGTTAAAAGTAGGTTCTGATTGAGCAAAGCTGGTGTGGGAGGGCAGATTCTCGAGGGGGCATTGAACTGCAGTGAACCAGTTCCAAGCCCTGGTGTAAAAACAGTTCTCTTCCAGTTTATTTGTCAGTACATTTCTTTTAGGCCGGTTAACCCTCTCGAGAATTTCCTCTTGCTTAATTTCTGCTTTCTTCTATTTTGTGACATAACAGATGAATTTAGAAAACGTATCATTTTAAAAGTGACAGCCTTAAAGGGCAGTGTTTGCACAGGGTGGTAGCTTGGGAGTGGGGGTGCATGGGAGGGAAGGACACAGGGAAGAGGTAACTATGAGGAGGAAGTGGGAAGACAGCTGTTGGTTTATTGTGGGGAATTCCAGCCAATGTCATCAGATAAAATGTGTGTGAACTGCTGTATGGAAAATGAATTTGTCCTGTAAACTTTCACCAAATCAAAATAAAAATTTTTTTAAATATACAAATGAAAATAACAGCCTTACACTACAGTAATTTTCTTAGAGGATGTGTATAGTATCACAACTTTTTCTGCAAAGTTAGCATGAAAAAGTTTCCAAACATTAGATTCTTCTTACTTATTCTGTTGTTTTCATCATGGAAATATAAATAAATAACTCTTTCACTCCTTTAATTAAAACCAGTAAGGCTATAGTTGGCTCTGTGGCTTAGTTGATCAAAGCACCTGTCTAGTAAACAGGAGATCCTGGGTTCAAATCCCAGCAGGGCCCTGGTAAACTTTGATGTTTTGGGAGCTCTGGTAGCATAGTGGCTAAGGCACTTGACTGCTAACCAGAAGGCTGGCGGTTCAAATCCACCAGCCACTCCTCGGAAGGAAGATGGGGCAGTCTACTTCCGTAGTGATACTGCCTCGGAAACCCAAGGAGGGGCGTTATGAGTCGGGTCTGACTCGACGGCACATAATAACAACAACAACATTGTGAATCACTGTAGTGATTTTGTAACGTTTACTACATTCACAGTGAATGCCTCAGTAGTGCTGTTGAGGTTATTTTTAATGTCATTCATATGGTTCAGAAAACTGCCTAAGAAAAACTGTAATCTGATCATAGGTCAGTTTGCTCCTCGTTAGAAGATATGTTATTTGGTTTAAGCCCCCAGAGAACCAAGTAGTAAACTGGGATACAAGAAGTTGTAATAAAGCAAATCCTTTTCTCTCTTGTCTGCTCCAGTGAATCGGATCCCAGCTCCCGGCAGTGGCCTGAATTGGACACGCTCTCTGGTTCCCAGTCCCCACAGTCTGTGGGGAGTGCAGCTGCGGACAGTGGCACCGAGTGCCTCTCTGATTCTGCCATGGACTTGCCTGATGTCACTCTCTCACTTTGCGGGGGCCTCACTGAGAATGGGGAAATTTCTAAAGGTATGTGTACACTTGGGTCTTATCTTCACTTCAGAAGCCACCTGGTTCATCCACTTAATTTGAAAGCCTGCCTTTTAGTCATTCCTGTGTTTTTAAATTCTTAAGTGATCTAGTGTGAATAACAGGTATCTCACTGTAAGTAGACACTTAAGCCCTCATTGAAAGCACTGCCTGTGGGGTGACATTAAATAAACATCACTGGTGAAACATAAGCCCTGAAAGTTTTACCTTCACACTTTAGAGAGTTCACAACTCCTTATATGCCATGCAGCCAGGGGCAGACACATTGCATCTGTTTTCTCATCTGTGAACTTGAAACATGTTTATAGGACTGAGACCACCTGCCCTCCTGGAAAGTGCTAGGCCTTACACATAAGTGCAGGGCCCTGGGATTATAGGATAGGATTGTCCACTGAATAAATGGGCTTTTAGGCATGAAGTAAAGGACTTAATTTCAGTCTGAAGCTTGAGAGTTGGTCTAGAAGAGTAAAGCTTCCTTATAGATAGTGGAAAAGACTTTAGCAGAAAGGTTCTGAAACTTTGGGTATGGGCTGAGCACCATGTGTGCATTTGTCCTACCTCCTTCAGCCTAGTTGAGTTTGCCTCCATTTTGAAATAAGCTCTTCTTAATGTTCTGTCAGTTTGGCTAGTGGTCTTTGATTGGTTTTCTACTAAGGAGAGGTTTTCTTACTGTCTCTAGCACTATCTCTTGTCTTTTCTCACTATCAGAAAAACCGAAGGCAGTATGCCTGTGGAGACACTGGGGGTAGCTGTAGCTTCTGAACTGGGTTGTCTTTCACTTATTCTTCTTCAGAGTCACAGGATACTCAGTATGCCTTTTTCTTTTCCATCTCTAATTCTGTTTGTTTTAGTGTAGGAAGTTAAGAGTGTGTTTGGCCAGTGCTTTTTCCTGGGCGTAAAACTATATAGGTCACTAAGATACAACTATTGAAGGAAACTGAAGACTCAGAGAAGAAACTAGTTCATAGGAGAACTTCATGACTTCATCTACCCTGAGACCAGAACTAGATGCCGGTACTTGGCTACCTCTACTGACCGTTCTGATCAGAAACACAGTAGATGGAGCCTGATAGAGTGAGAGCAAATATGGAACAGAATTTAAATTCTTAAAAAGTCCAGATTTAACTGGACCCTTGAGACTAGAGGACTCCCCAAGTCTATTGGCTTGAGGTATTCTTTAAACATTGAACCAGAACTGTTCCATGAGGTGTCATCTTCTAGCTGAATAACAGATTAGCTCACAAAATAAACAATATCATCTGTGAGTACTGTGGTCCCTTAAAAACTCATCTATATGAGACTTAAACAGTCAACACTTACCCTAAAGCAAAGACAAGAAGGAGGGGAAACTAGATTACTGGAAATGGAACAACCAAAACAGAAGTAATAAAATAAATTTACTATGTAAAATGTAACCAAAGTCACTGAATAAATTTTGTAGAAATTGTTAAATGGGAACTTTATTTGCTGTGTGAACTTTCACCAAAAACACAATAGAATAATCTAAAAAAAAAAATAGGTCAGATTCTTTTCATGATCTTCATAATATTCTGTATATAGTGAGTACATGGACAAGTAACTGCCAGAAATTCAAGCCAGATTCAAAAGAGAAATGTGGAACAAGGAATATCATTGCTGATGTCATATGGCTCTTGGCTGAACGAGAATACCAGACAGATGTTTGCCTGTGTTTTATTGATTATTCAGAGGCATTCAACTATGTGCATCATAACAAATTATGGATAACATTGTGAAGGCTGGAAATCCAGAACCCTTAATTATCCTCATGCAGAACCTATACATAGATCAAGAAGCATTTGTTTGAACAGAACAAAGAGAAGAGGATACACCATGATTTAAAAATCAAGAAAAGTTTTTGTCAGAATTGTATCCTTTCACCATATTTATTTAGTTAGTGTGCTGAGCAGATAATCTGAGAAGCTGGACTGTATGAAGTAGAATGTGGCATCAAGTTTGGAGCAAGACTCATTAACAACCTATAATATACAGATGATAGAATCTTGCTTGCTGAAATTGAAGAGAACTTGAAGCAGTTACTGACGCAGAGCAAAGACTACAGCTTCAGTATGGGTTGCACCTCAACAACAATAAAAAAAAAAAGTTCTCACAGCTGGGCTAGCAGGCATCATCATGATAAGTGGAGAAAAGAGTGAAGTTGTTAAGGGTTTCATTTTACTTGGATCCATATCAGCAAGTCAAATGACAAATTAATTGCATAGGGTGAATCTGTTGAAAAAGACCTCTTTAAAAGTGTTCAAAAGCAAAGGTGCCACTTTGAGCCCTAAGGTGCACCCAGTTTTCACTTGCGTCATACATACAGAGGAGCTATGGTGGCATAGTGCCTAAGGCATTTGACTGCTAACCGAGGGCTGGTGGTTCAAACCCACCAGCAACTCCTCAGAAGGAAGATTGGGCGATCTACTTCCGTAGAGATTGTGCTTCAGAAACCCAAGGAGGGGTCACTGTGAGTCAGATCTGACTCCACGGCAGTGAGTTTGGTTTTTTTTTT